AATTCTTGGCCGATTTGGATATCTAGTCGCGTATATTGTTTTTGCTACTGCGGCATTCTGATATCAACAGCTTAAGCATATATTATAAAAAACCGAAAATCATTATTAAAAATAGATTTATACGAGTGATTATTGAATACTGATTTATGAATGTTAGTTTAAGATTTGTTTAAGATTTTTTTCAGCGTGATTGCTACAATTACATTCTTCTAAAAAACTAAACAATTACATAACGTACACATATTTAGAAAAAAAAGAAAATTTGCATCTCTAAGAATTTTCATTGTCCATGAAATATTCCTTTAATTTTCTTTTAAATGTCTTCAAATTACAAGTCGACTTTATATCATTATTTAGTTTATTAAATTCAAGTAATCCTTTCTGAAATATTGATTTCCTAGTTATATTACTATTGCAATTTTGTAAATGAAAATCTAAATTTTCTCTTGTTTAATAATTGTGGTAATGACTATTCAATTATATGTAGTGTTCTAAATGTTCTGGCAAAAGATAATTTTTTATTTTAAATATAAAAATAAGAACCAAATATGATATGAAATTTCTTATATTCCACCACTGCAATTTTTGTAACATAGATTTTATTTTGGTGTACTTATTTTTATTCAATATTATTCTCATAGCTTTATTTTGCAAGACTTGTAATTTTGAGAATACGGCTTCATTGGCAGTGAACAAGATAGTTGAACAATATAGTAAATGCGGTAGAATGATTGTATTATAAACTATTTTCTTGGAATAGGTATCAAGACTATGAGAAGCCCTATAGAAGTAATTTGTTTTTTTTTGCAATTTTTGAAATAATGTATTCATAGTGATCCTCAAACTTTAGTTTACTATCAATATATATACCTAAATATTTAATTGATTCAACATTTTCAATTATTTCTCCATTTATCTTAACTGTGATAGTATTTTGATTTAGGAATTTCCCTATTAGCATAAATTCTGTTTTAGAAGTATTCAATTTTAGTTTATTTACATTTAACCAATTTACGGTTTTTGCAAAGTCAGAATTTAGTATTTTTAAAGCAGTGTCTATATTTTCATCTGATATGTAATAATGTATCATCTGCAGATATCTGAAGTTTACAATAATCTAAAATATTACAAATGTCATTAATGTATAAAATAAATAGTAGTGGTCCTAGTTTACTACCTTGTGGTATACCAACAAAAATATTTTTTTATCTTGATAATGTAGATCCAATTTTGGTCCTTTGACTTCTGTCAATTAAATAGTTTTGTAGATTTTTGAATACTCATCCTTTAAAACCATATTGATGCAATTTTGTAAATGATATTAATATATTTTCCGCATTACTTATCTATCATATAAATTAGTTTATTAAGTTTATGTTATATAGATTTTTTCTAGTCCTTATCAATCAATTTATTGTGACTAGGTACTTTGTTATAGGTTATGCGTGGTAGAATGATTTCCACATACAAGAATATTTTCCTTTTATGGAATATCAATTTAATCACAATTTATAATAATCTATTATTATTAATATATTCAGTGAATAAAGATTTATTATATTGACTTCTGATGGTCCATCCAACTCAAACACGCAGTGTGCGCTTTTTTTGCGGTTTAAAAACCCATGGCTATATGAACTCTTTGTTTAGTGAAATGACCTGAAAAGTCGTTCTGTAAAATATCGGAAATTTTCTATAGAATATCCTGTACATAAATCTTAGTAAATCACCTGCCTAGCTACACACATTCTATGAATAAACTCAGAGGCTGTAAGAAATGCATGGTGCATGAATTTGAATTCAGGTACGGTGCAACGATGTTATCGTCTATACAATTTTCCAGTCTGTTCATTCATGGAGAAATTCAATCTGCAAATTCGCTCTAGAATCGGAGAATATCGCATTCCTGTTAACACCATCATTTGTGGAGCAAGAATCAGAAGCTTACATATAATAGTGCACCGATTGGCAGTTTCTTTGAGGATAAAATTCGTTTGATAACGTAGTTTCATGTTGACTGCAATTTCTGCTATGTGCGTCGCCTTCATTACGAACCGTAAATAAAAATAAAGATATTTCATTCGGGGCCAATCAAAATTGAAAATACGGTGAATGTGTATAGTTGGGAATTAGCACATCCACCATAAATGAACAAGAGGGATTGGATTGCGTATTAGCACACAACTGATTCCAAGATTGCTGTACTGATATCCGACAGCTTCTAAACTTAAAAGCTGTTAAAATATTACTATTAAAAACAGCAAATGGAACAGCTATTTTGAATGAACTTGTTAAAACAGGGTAGTACATCAGGTACCACATTGTTTGTAATTTTTTTAAGTGACATTGATACCTGTATCGAACCTGATGTATGTAAAATTAAATGCAGTTGACACAAATTTGCTCATAACTACTGCAGATCCTGGGAATGCATGTTATGAGGGGGGAATGATATGGACAAACCTGTTTTTTTAATAATAGGCTAATTTTTGTGCTGTATTTTCGAGCCACTCACTGTAGACTAAATTTTCCAAATTTCAATTTATCTTAATGGTACAGTGTCTGACAATAGTAGATTTCTTGGTCTTGAATTAGATACCTCAGGTGGGACAACAATTAATGTAATTAAAAAAATGAGCTCTATTCTATAAGAATTATTGCTAAATATTTGGATAGCAAAGCTTTGAAAGTTGTGTACCCTCAAAGTTTGAATGTAGATTAAGGCATGGAATTATGTTATTCGGAAACTGTAGTGACTTTGACGAAATTTTTGTGAACCACAAGATAACATTGAGAAATATTTTGGGTTTGAAGTTAAATGAATCATGTAGAAGTAAGTTGAATTTTATCAGTTGTTGGAGTGCTTATTCAAGAGTGCCTCATATACTTATATAATATATACCATTTGAGCCTACAAGCAACCATACTAGTTTTTGCACTAGTTCAGTTTCAACTAAATATTTATCCTACGCATAGATTAGCGTTATTTGAAAAAGTCCCTATTTACAATTGCCTAAAACTTTTTAACCATTTACCAGCAGATGTGAAAAAGATTGTGAAACTAAGTACATTTAAAAAATATTACAGAAAATATATTACTGAATCTAGAAGCATATAAAATTGACTTTTTCAATTCAGATTTGAATAATTTACTATAGAGGAAGATTTCATCATTACTTTTGTTTGGTTAACGCGTTTTGTATCATAAGCGTATAAAATTTGTATTTGCAAATGAAGATAACTGTTATTGTTATTACTGCGGTCACGATAAAGGATAAAGCTGGCCCACTATTGATGCACGACAGCAGAAAGAGCTATCCATTACCAAAGTCGACCTCCACAGAAAGTGAATAGCAGCTGACTATTTGAACTGGAAAGGTATCTCAGTTCATGTCATCACTGCTAAAGATCTACTCGCCATTGAATACGAATAACATATGTCCTAAAAGTTTTGGCACAAGATAATTATTGGACTTTTTTTTAATTAAGAAATTTATTTAAACACTAACTAGTTATACAGGGTGACTTCGAAGTTGAGTCATTTATTTTAACAGTGAGTAGATCTGATCAAAAGAAATGTTTTTTTCCTTTACCATTTTTCTGGTAAAATTAAAGTAACAAAGTTATAGCCCTTTGGAAGTTTGAGTACCGCCCTGTCTCAATAATAATATTATGTGCTCGTGTTTGGCAACAACGGATATAATCCGCCTTATCAGTTCATCGCATCGGAAACAAAAAAGCGAAAGAATTTGGAACGATGTTTTTACAATTATTTTATTCAGTTGTATACAGTCAGTGTCAGTCGGTAACGCGCGAGTGAATAGTGGTGTCTGTTGCGTGGCTCAAACGAAATAAAAAATGGCACATGTTTATGTAGATCGGTTTCCCAATCGAGTGCAACCAACCCCTCGTGCCTTTGTTAATGTAGTACAACGGGTTCGTGAATCAGGTGACTTAAGACCTCACAGGGGACGGCATGCCGGTGCTCCAAGACCTCACGATCAAATACAGGTCCGCACTGAAATACTTGTCGGGAGGATACTTTATAAAACAAGGTAACATTTTTTTTTTAATTTTTTTTTATTTTTACACACATATTTTGGTTTATCTTCCTTCTGCAATCATTATCTGAAAATTAATGACTCAACTTCAAAGTCACCCTGTATAGTATAGTTTTTCGTACATTCGCCGACTTAATTGTTCTTCATCTTGGGCTTTCCAGCCTCCATGATAAACCTTTCTAGATAGTAAAGCAAAAAATCCTCTGGCCAAAACATGATATGGTCATTAGCTTGATGGTCGTGGACAAACTGAAGCAGTTTTTAAAGGCAGTTGTCAATATAGCTCTGATTATTCAAAGCTTCACCCTTCACTCTTCCCACAAAGGGTTGGGATACACCCCTGTTAGAAATTGCGCACCAGACAAGGATTTTATCTGCAAATTTCGGTTTATGTTTGTGTCTAATATTGTCAGGGTATTCCTCTACGTTGGCCGTATAAATTCGACGTTTCCTTTCATTTCAGAATTACTCAGTTGGTGACAGCATCTTGGTTTACGAAGGAGTTGCGCTTGACAGTATTTGAAGCACTTAAGTCTCTTTCGATATTTAAGACCATTACTCCTCAATTCTAACGATATCGTACTCTCTGTCTGTATTCCCGAGCAAGTCTCGCTGTTGACATTCCAAACTGATTTTTTTGCTCTTCTCAACAATCTCTCTGACATCTGTGCAGTAAATGCACGTGGTCTTCCTCTTTTCGGAAGACTCAGACATGGTAATCAATGCTCGCATTCCGCTATTATCTTAAACCGAAAACTTCAAAATAAATAAATGTTAACTGACAGTAAAGTAAGTAACCAAAGGCAACTTGATATTATTTTCTAGTTGTTAAAAGTAAAGCCAACGAATTTTGTGCCAAAGCTTTTAGGACACAGGTTAGTAAATACGATTCCATAGTTTTTTGACGGTGAAAATTTGGATTAGAAATACTACACTTACCACATCGGATCGTCCGTAAGCGAACCTGCGGTCCTTCTCGTGGTCGCCGAAAGTGTCCCAGAGCCGCAAGCTGACGTTGACACTGTCCACCACTTCCCAGGAGCGCTCTAGCACGTCCTTGTAGATCCGGTACTGGTCGATGGCCCATACTGTCGGCACGTGGGTCGCCAACAGCTGAGCCAATGATACCTGCACAATATTCATCAGCAATAAAAAACCCTTATTCAACTAATATGAGAGAGAAGAGAGTAATTGGTTTCCAAAAAGGCAGATTCCTTTATAAATTCAAATATTTTGCATTTTTTTTCATTTTCGAAGACTCCGGTAAATAGAACGACAAAAAACAGGGACCATACCGTTACCACCGAGAGTACAAGGCCTGGCAACAGACGCGTGACGTCACCACGAGTAGGCCGGTCGGCCGGCCGACAGCACGGCGTGCCTTACACCAGTGCTAGTGAATAATATATTATTGCAGCATATTTAATATACTCTATCTGATGTAAAAAACAGATAATTCAGAAAAGTGTTTTTGGTATATGAAGGCAACTTGGTGGAAAATATTAAAGTAGTTATTAACTATTTTCACCCTGATTTTCACTGATTGTAACGGTTTCACCGTCCGATTGTATTTATTAAATCACTTCTCGATTTTCATTTCAGAATCGCAACTCATTAATCCCATCTCTAGCTTTTTTACTTGGGAAAATTTCCGCTTGGAGCGCGCTTGATGCGGAGTTCCTGATCTGTGATCTTCCTCGCGCTTCCTTTTCACTTGAGCCGCCGATCTAACAAGAGCTAAGAATTTTGCCATGTGCTAGCATTTTGTAAAATGTGTGTCCAAATAGGATAAAATGATTGGGGCCACCCCCTTTCCCTTTGACTTTTGCCTTTGTCTTTGACTTTGCATTGCTTGGCCTATCACTTCACCCAAGCATGTGCCTTGGCAGCGCCATCACTTACAGCTTCATCCTTGATGAAGATCACCTTTAAACTCAACTTCACTGCATCCTTCGCCTACAACTAGTTTTGAAGCCACTAAATGTGAGGTTACCCCTCATAACTGGGACCTCCACTTGAAGCACTTGGCCATCCTCGCTTCAGTCCAGTCAAAATGGACCAGCTTAGCGAAAGATAAGTGGATGATTTTGTAACAGCGCCAAAGATTTAAAACTTTTATTTTGTTCTTTAAAATTTCAATTTCAAATTGTAAATAAAATGTTTTTCTAGTTAAATAAAATCTGTTAAATTTTTGTGTTCTGTTTGTTCTTCTATCCTCTAGTCATGCCATGGTCGACACACAGCTACACGCCTGTAGATGTCTTCATGCCACCGACTGAGCTACCGGAAGCTAATGGTAACCCCCTTTCTGTGATTGTGCAGAAAAGTTGGAATCTTCATTGCATTCCATCTTTTCTGGACTTTTTGCGGAAAGGAAGGATTACATAAATTACATCCAACATGACGTGCACATTAGATTAATAAGATGATGTTATGAAAGCTTGCTAAAAATGATAAATTCTTCAATGAATAACCCCATGTTAGTCACAACCGATCAACAAAATTTCACAGGAATATGTGGACAATTTACTATTATTATAAGTATATGTAATATAATGGTACTTGAAAATTATATAAAAAATGTAGTGCTTGTAGACAGTTGTGTCCAGCAAGAACCAACGAGGAGGTCTGAGGTAAGTTCTTGCCAGGAAACGAATAAGGAAGATGAGGAGGAAAAAGTGTAGGATAAATGATAAGAAAAACAGATAAAATCAAAGTAAAATAAACAACAGAAAAAACATAACAAAGATTAACGAAAACTTAATAAAAACTCTTACAACAAACAAATAACAGCATAAAATAATAACAAAAATTAGAAAACAGAAAACAAGTATCAAAAATAACAAAAATTAGAATAACGAAAATTAAAGTGCTAAATTCTGAATATGTACAAATAAACATTTATCTACAGCTATGTAAATATTGCGGCCTCATGTAAATGTTGTCAATTTATTCGCGCTTGCAAAGCTGTCGTTCCTTTCGGCACAATAATTAGTTTTATAACATAATCTGGTGAATGGACTGTGAAACGCAAAAATGAAGTGTCGTGATTATTATCACTCAGATTGTTAATTATCAACTGAGAAAGAGCGCGTCTCTTATCAGTGATTTCTAAAAATGATTCCTCGTCACTTTCCAAAACTTTATTGAAAATTATATAACTTAGCATGACAATATTAATAACTGGATCCTTTGGGAATTTTAAGCCACCTCTACTCAAATTCTGTATAATATTGTGCTTGTCTTCTATATCAATATCATCTGTGTGTGTCAAATTTTCCTTACAATGATCGCAGTGATTTTTCTTTAATAAGGCATAACAACAGTAACCAGCTAAGTAGGTGATGACAAGGATTTCATCCTTTATACTATCAATATCAGACTGTAAAATTTCAATTTCCCGGAAAAAGTGGTAATCATTAAAATTGTGTCGAATTTCATCTATTTCTAAATCATCATTTTCACAGAATTTATGTGCCATGTGCCATCGCTTTAGTATTCAGTGCATTATTATCACTTACAACACAAAACATTTTATAACCACGTTCTTCTAATCGAATAATAAGTTTTTTTGTCATATTGTATAATAGATTATGATCAACTTTAGAAACAGGACAGATTTGAACAACTTCTTTGAAATTGAAGTAGAAGCTTGAAATCATAAACACATAGGCTGTTGTAGCTAATGAAGTATTATCAATTGCCGTTTCAACAATATTACCCCCTTTGAAATCTAAATATGGCTCAATGTGTACTTCATCCATCAATAAAATCATGTACTCTTCACTAGGTTTTACAAATCTAAAAAGGTTTTTTGCATAGCCTACAAAGTTATATCTCTCATCGGGAACTGGATCGACCATCAATGTATTACATATTGACTTCAGAGTATTTTGGTGTGGTAAAATAAGTGCTCCATGGCTCCTAATAAATCTATATGAATGTGGACTGTTTGTATACAACATAGAGCAAAACACTATTGTTTCTGATAAGTAACTGTGTCTGTTCTTCTGCTCACAAATAAATTGAATGACCGTGTGGGTCTCTTCATCGGTGAATAGTTCTGTGCTATTTAAAATATTGTAAGCATGGTTGATAGTGGCTCTGAACTGGTCTTTACCTGAATATTCCCTCGAAGCATCTGCATTCTCAGAAATAACATGCAGAACATCATCCAAATGGTGTATATTAGATAATAAAAATGGAGTTTTAATATTACCTGAGTTGAGTAACAATTCTTGGGAGTGCATATATGTTTTTACATTGAGATCTTTATCAACAATTACAGAGTGAGTTGAGATGGGTGCTGGTTTATATTCTAACTTAAACAAAGTAACTTTATCCTGAACAATTTTATGCCACCCATATGGACATTGCCATGAACTGAAAACTGTGAGAAAGTCTGAATAATTTTGAAAACAACTTGATTTTTGATAGGAGGAATAATCATCAATGCTAGTTTGCAGTGCTTTAAGTAGTTGTTCTTGTTCCTTGTCCCTCAATTTCTCATCTCGGCTTCTTCTGCTTGATATGTCCTTTGAAAGGTATTTTGGACAATTTGCAAAGATACTTGGAATTACATCTGCCGTTAATTTTGGATACTTAAGGGGTACAGTAATGGTCCTACCTGTCTTTTCGCCATGGAAGGTGGATTCCCAAATGATGCTGTCCTCAGCAAAGTGCAAATTACGTATTCGGGTGTATTTTGTAACCACTAAATCACTACGAAGGATTGCATTGAGCCATCTTTTACGACAGTTTTCGTTCAATGGAAACGAAAATACGTGTACCTTCGGACCCTTATTTATTACCGACACAATTAGGAACGCAGCACTTGTCAGGCATTTTGAAAACTTAGCTAAACAATCGCGAAACACAAATATAAGTTTAAAACATCAATAATTTTCAGTTTACATAGCATAGCTCAGAATGTGAGGTTAGTTGGCGAGGTTGCCACATATTCCAATTTTGAATGGAATATTAGACTTCACAAGTGACAGATTGAACGTAACATCGAAAATGTATTCTTGACATACTGAGGCAGATCAGAAAGAATAATCACATCATCACTGAAGCTGCGGAGGCCCCGAGTACATCTTGCAAATTCGCCCACAGACAGGTACAACTAATTAGTAGAGATTTCGATACTGCTATATCAAACCTAGATATGACAACACCTCAGACAAATGGTGGCGCGGTTTTCTTGCCAGCCAGTCATCGCGAAACTCCATAAGAACATGCATAGGCCTACTCTGCGTTACGTTACAGGCTTTTCAGAGCAAGTTTTTGGCCTTGTACTCTCGGTGGTAACGGAAGGGCAGACCTACAACATATCAAAAAGTGACCCTGATAAAAGTTTCATTGTTCTTGAGATATTAATTTTTTTGTCTCTCTTTTTTTTAATCTATCTTTTGTTACTGTTCCTAGAAATAACAGGATATCTGTATGTTTTTTTTGCAAAATATTCTCAGATAGTTGGTCTGCCATTTGAAATATCATTTTCGATAAATACAAGTAGGTAAACTTGACAAACCAAATCCTTCTTCGTAATTTTTATTTACGAAAATTATTTTACTCAACTTTGGTATTCAGCAATGAAATAAAAATGTACTAGACTGCTACTGCAAAGTACTGCGATAAATTACCTGCTTAATCAGCAACAAAAGTTAGATCAAACGAGTAAATGTTTCGAAAAAGACAAAAAAAATGAATATCTCAAAAACAACTTTTACTAGGGTCATTTTTTGGTATGTTGCCTTTCGCCTACCTTCCTCATTTTTTGTCGTATTATTTACCGGATACCCTGTATGATTGTCCCTGTCAAGTATTATTTTTTTTATTTTTATAGTCACCGTCCATACAAGCCTATATTAAAACCTGTGTTAGATTATGCTCTGAAACTTAACTGCTTATGTTGGAGCTTGCTCTTGAAGTGTTACCGGCGCGATAGTTTTAGGTAAAATTTCTATCCAACCGCCGGCTTAACAACGATGTGTAACAAACCTAGTAAAAATTTCAATCAATTTGAAACCTTTATTTTCTATACATTCGATGCCTTTGTCTTATATAAAAGTAATCAAAAACAAAAATAATGGGTGATTTTTTTGCTAGTATCTCTTTGGCAACAC